GTGGTAAAACCTTTGAGTGATGCTGTCCCCTTACTTCTCACCTGCACTTGCCTCCACGCTAAAAGCAAGCTGTGCCCCCCAACAGCAGCCCCTCCTTGGGAGTCACGAAGGACAGGGCTCTCTGTGGCCCCAGACAGAGACAGAGCAGTTTCCCTGCAAACACACTCCAGCCTGCTCTACGTCAGTCCTCTCTGCCCCACGGCGAGCTGCTGAGGGGGTACGACACAGCAGATATGGTCCCAGCTGGCCTCCAGACTAGCTGCTTCCACACAGCCCTGGGCCCAAAAACAGCCCAGTTTGCTATTTGCAAAGAGCATGGAGAGAATGACCTGAATGTGCAGATGCTTCCCCCAGAGGTGGGCTGGCCAGACTTTGTTCCACAGGCTGTTACAGTCCCCAGGTGTCCCGAAAGGAAGATGCAACTGGAAGGCAGAGCATTCACGTAGGGCTACCCCGCACCCAGGGACTGCCATACAGGAAGAGCTGCCCCTGGCCCAGCCCCAGGGCAGTGCTGGGGCAGGAAGGTGGAGCGGCAGCATCTCCGTCTTCATTTCACCCATGTAGCAGGTGACACCCTCCCGCACCACGCCCACATGGACAAATCCCGTGGCCATACAAGCGGCTCTGCCCGACACACGCAGAGACACCCCGGCTCTTCTATGCATGGGGTCTGCTGGAGAAGAGCCAAGTGTGTGAACCACCCTCTCTAACCCAACAGCAGAGTTTTGATTCAAATTATTCCCTACTGCCTCTCCATTTGTAGTTATCTGTTAATACTCTAACGCTGTATCCCTCAGTGCCACTCACCCTCATTATTGTGTGATTTTCTAGCCCCATTACAAACCAGTGCCTGTGTAAGGTGACTGTGTAAACACGCAACAGCCGTACATCGGCCTCCTGCGGCCTCATGCTTCCCATCTCAGGCAGGCGGTGTAAAGGGGGGGAGAGGGCCAGGCACCGTGGCATCTCAGGGGCTGTGGTCGGTGGGGTCGCACTTCAGCATGACTTTGACCCCCTCGCCCCTCCTGGTGGTCTCGAACGCCTCAAGAGCCTTTTCCAGGGGGAAGCGGTGCGTAACCAAGGGCTTGACGTTGATCCGCTTGGATGCGAGCAGCGCGATTGCCACAGGCCACCTGCAAGGGAAACGGAGAGCAGGAAGTGAGAGCAGTGGCCGGTTTGGAGCCCCAAGGAAAGAGCATGGAGGAGCCTGGTTTCATTTCAGTAATTTCCTCAGCCCAGACAACCAAGAGTCCTGCCCACAGACTCTTCCCAAGAGGGAACCTCAAGCATCAGGCATGGGAGACGGGACAGGATGACAGCTTTGGGCTGTCGAGCACCGGGAAGGCAGGTACTGCAATACACAGGCCATCAGCTGTGCTTCACCCGCTAAAGGCCGAGTGAAAATCACAGGAAACAACTGTACTTCTGAAGCACCAAATGAAAAACAAAGCTGCTGTGCTCTGTTCTCCTCTCGCCCTGCCTCCCTGCTTGCAGAGCGATCACTGTGAGGTCAAGCTCACCGACTCAGTGCAGGGAGAAGAAAGGAAAAGCCTCAGTTGGCTTCCAACCTCCTCTCTGGCAGAGGGAGGCTCATGCAATGTGATTGCCTTGCCGCTCCATCTGACTGGACCAAATTTGAGTGACAGGGATACAACGGGATGCAGCGGCTAATTCAATTCCCAAGCTGCCTACTTAAAGACATTTTTCATTTTAAATAAAAGCTTGACTATATCTTAGATATCCTTTGTGGAAAACCACCTCTACAGACTAAGCACAGATTCCTGGCTCTGCTAGCAAGTGACTACAGCTCTAAACAGAGCAGAAATCAGGCTGCAAACATGCAATACTGGGTCTCAAGCCCTGTCCAAGGGGAACAAGACTAAAGAGAGCACAGCTGAGCTTCTCCTGCCTTCAGGGCAAGGCCAGCTTTCAATACCCTGGAAGACCTGCCTATCAATGAGCCATGCAGTTCAGCTCTCTGCAGAGAGCACACATGCCTTCAAACCGGCTCCAGATGTACCTCCAGCTCCAGCAGAATGATGAAAACTAAACGTGATGATGAGCTCTTGCTCAACCAAGCATTCCAACAACATAAAACAAGAGGTGATGCCTTTAAAATGAGAGAGGGTAGACTGAGATTAGATATCAGGAAGAAATTCTTCACAGCGATGGTGGTGCGGCACTGGACCAGGTTGCCCAGAGAAGCTGTGGATGCCCCATCCCTGGATGTCTTCAAGGCCAGGCTGGATGAGGCTTGGAGCAACCTGGTCTAGTGGAGGGTGTCCCTGCCCATGGCAGGGGGGTTGGAACTGGACGGTCTTTGAGGTCCCTTCCAGCCCAAACTATTCCTTCATTCTATGAAGACTGACGATGTGATTTCCTTCTACGACGAGCAAGGAGAGCAGAGCTGGGGACCACCAGCAAGGCTGGGTATGCACAGCTTGAGACAGGATGAGGTGCTTGGGATTTTGACTCTTTGCCCAGAACTAAGATTCCCCACATCACTTTGCTTCAAAACTGACAACATAACAGTTAGGAAGGTAGATGCCAAGAGGCAGCCAGCTTTCCATAAAGCAGGGGGGTCAGTGCCAGGCCAGACTGTTGCTTAGAGATCTCCCAGTACAAACAGTTGAAGCAGCTAAAAGCCATGTGTTTCTCTCTGCCACGCCATGAGCCAGCACGCTTGTGGACAAGCCAAAACACCCCCAGCATCTGGCCTTCCCTTTCTACAGGGCATGAGTTCAAGGCACAAATGTTAATTACGAATTACTTTTTTCATTTTGGCCTGCCTGCTTACAGCTAAATAAAGGTTTGTTGGGTCTCTTCCTTTCTTTGCATCAAATGCTGAATGAAATGGGACAGTGGGACAAACCAGCTGAGCTGTTTTGTTGTGGTCGTTTGCAGCGCAGAGCTCAACCAGGAACCAAGGCATAAAATGTACACATGTACTGCAGTGCTGGTATTTCAGAGTGACGTGAGGTTTAACCAACTGCAAGGAAAACCAACCTTTTCCACGTCCTCTCTCCTTGTGGAAAGCAAGAATTTGTCAAGGACAGACCTGGAGACACAGCAGCCCACCCTGCACAAAACTCACGTGTTGCAGTAGCGAAATATCCCCCGGATATCCACCTCCCGCACAGCAGCATTCACGATGGGCACGGTGACCATTTCAGGCCCCAGCCCCACCAGCACCAAGGTCCCACCAGAACGAGTGGCCTGCAGAACAAACACACAAATACGTTATATTTTGGAAAACACAAGTTACCGGAGCCCACACAGCAGTCTGTTAAAAAATAAAGCCACATTTGTGGCTGCAATGGACTGCCCTGGTGCACACTGGGGAAGCCAGGAGAGAGGCAGGATGCTGACAGGAGCCTCTAAGCATGAAACATCCAATAAACAAGGGTTAAAGAGCAATCTTTTGAAAATCTCTTCAAGATCTTGGTATCTAAATCTCATTCTGAAAAATGAATGGCCCCTAAGAGTATGAAAAGTATTTTCACATTTCAATGGGAGAGATTTAAAACCAAGAGCCTGATGCTTCACTGGAATGGTTGCTTTTGCAGCTTGTCCTATTTGTCTCCTATCCTTTCACTGCAAAACTCTACACTACCTTTTCCACATCCTCCCATTAGGCAGTTCATGGCAGCAAAACATCCCCTCCTGACTGCTTTCTTCACTGGCTGGAATTAATTTTCTTATTCTCCGTATTTGGACATAACTTCAATGTAATGGAAGATGTTGTCCTACTTGTACCAGCTCCCTGACACTGCTGCGTAGCCATGTTTGGGTTTCAGGGTCTTACTGTATTCTCTTTGGTAAGGCACCTGATCATCAAATCAGAGAGTTATCCCCATGCTGTCTGCAAAGTTTCATAGAATATTTTAGGTTGGAAAAGACCTTTAAGATCATCAAGTCCACCACTAAAGCAGTCCCTAAGTGCCTCATCTACACACCTTCTAAATACCTCCAGGGATTAACATTAACTCTTTGATTGTCTCTCTTAGTTTGTTGTCTAACAAGCACCTTCTCTCCCTCACACCAAGTCCGCTCAAATTAAGCACTGTGGGAGCAAAACAACTGTCATTCACTGCAGTGTCCCAGAAGAAGAAAAGCCTTGGGGACAAGAGGTACTCACATAAATGCCGGCCTGGATGCAGGCTTGCACTCCTGTACACTCCACAGTTATCTCGGGCATGCAGCCAAGCAGACTTTCCACTTTGGAGGCCACCTCCTGCGGGGTCTCATTCTTCACCTGAATGGTGAAATCTGCTCCCACCTCCTTGGCTTTTTGCAGGCGAGAGGCAGATAAATCTGGGGAAAGACAAAACAAGGCAAGAATTGGAGGATTATGGGAAGCAAAAGGGGAGAAAGAACCTGAGCCCGCAACCTGCTTTCTACCCCATGTGACATCTCAACTGATCCGCCCTGTTTGGTGATGAGCTGTCAACTCTCTCAGGAGAGAGCACAGCATTTGTTACGCAACAGGACAAGATGGCAAACTGCAGCCCACTAGTACCTTCTCAAGAATTTATCTAGACCACCCAGACCAAAGGGTGTCCCACCCCTGGCACAGGTAGGCCACTGTCAAGAAGTTCTGATTGAAGCACACACGTCTGGGGTCCGCACACGTATTCACAGAGCAGTGCACACCCAGGAGAGGAAAGGGGCTATGTTCCCTCCCTCAAATTCACGAAGCCTTTGGTGAGGAGGCAGAGAGGAGACCTGCTCAATTTTCTGTGCAGCCAGAGGACAAGCAATGAGGACAACTTAACGATGCAGGAGATGCCAAAGGCTTGAGGATGTGCTTCGAAGATATTAAAGCACCAACTCACAGAAGAAAACACACCATGCAAATCAATGTCCAAGCAAAGGAACAGTTGTCACCGCCAGACGCAAGGGGAGACCAGTTCACACATCTCCCAGTTTCTCTTTGGTACTGTAAGAACAGAGTGTGCCAAGACAAACCACAAGGCCAATCTTAACTCCAAAGGGCATGCACATTGATGCTGCAAGCAGGAACCACAACAGGAACAGCCGTGGCCAAGCACTGGCGTGCTGCCGTCCCAATGCTCACCACAGAGCAGAGGAACCTCAGTGCAGGCAAAGGCAAAAGGCAGGAGGGCAGGACAGACGGCAGCGCCCTTATCGAACAGTGCCGTTGTCCCCAAATCTGCCACTCTCTAACCCTGCACTGACCAGTGTCTCTGTGGCTGCGACTCTTTCATGAAGCAGCTTCACTAATTCACATGGGACCTTAATCCACTAGTGAAAAAGGACTGTAAGAAAAACACAGTATGCACAACTCGGCGAGTTAACCTAGGGAGGAGCCTACAATGACGCAAAAAACCACCACTCACTTTTGAATTTTCCTTCCCTGGCTCTCGAGATTATTTGCTATTGCTCACACCCTCAAGGCTATCTCTCAAAGGGCACTAGGCAGAGGCAAGGTTGCTCTGACCTTGCTCCCCGATGGCCCAGAAATCACCTGGTTATGGACAGCACAGCACCGAGAAGCCTGTCAGGAGATGTCAGGCTCAGAGGATCATTAACGTGGCCATTTCTCTCCTAACAGTAGCAGAAGAGAGCAGATCATGAGCTCTCAGAGGGCCTTCCCAGCGAACCATCAGCAGATGCTTTCAGCTGAGCGAACTGCAGAATGCATTAGTTGGCAACACTAAGTGTGTCCCTGCTGTTACAGACCTCTCCCATCCTTTTGCCCTCCTTGTAACAGGGCTGGAGGCTGCTGAGCATCCCTCAAGGCAGTTTCCACCACAGATGAAAAAACAGGCAAGACCGTAAGAAAAAGGGAGTAGATCTGGTAATCTGGTGGACCTCAGGTACCCCAATAACACAGAGCAACAAAGCTGGTGATGACAAATGTCTGCAGGGGCGTGACTGTACTCTGTCCCGAGGGATGTCGGCAGCACTGTAAATATCTTGTGAAGACCCATAGAATGGTTTGTACCATGAAGTGAGTTTCCCTGGTGGGCAGTCACACTGTCTCTTCTCTTCCACATCCCCTGGAAGGAACCTACGCACTGCTCTCCAGACACCACTGGTGGCCAGGACATCTCTGGAGATGAGGAGGTGGACAGCAAAGAAGACTGGCATTTCCCAGGCTTGCACTGAAGCAGTGGTCTACAGGGGCCCGTGTGTTGGCGCTGGAAAAGACGTCCGGTGAAGGAGGATTAACAGCCAAGACTTTCTAGATTGCCTCCCCAGAGACTGCGGGGTAGGCAGTGTCTCCTGCCAGAGGCCCTAGACTTAAGGCTCAGAAAATCATGCCTTTGCCAGGGGCACGCGTGTCTCCAGGACACACAGCATACCCACCACAAAGAAGAAAGCACCACTCTCACGGGGATGCAGTCTTCAGAGCAGTCAAAGATCGAGGCAGGAGGGAAATATTAAGGGAAAAGAGAATGAGGATGAGGCCACTGCTCTCACAAGCTGCTCTGACCCAGCCCCAGTGCTGGGAGGAAGCCAGGACAGGGGACCCACCCATCACACAGCGAATGTGACATTACCGACTGCCAGGGCAGGTGATGGACATGCCCCCATCAGCAGCAGTAGGGTTTGGGATGATGGGTGCAGGCACACCCACCGAGATGAGCACCCAGGAGATGTGGAGGGAGTTTCAAGAAGCGAGAACAAAGAGTAATAAAATGCAGATGAAGGAGGAAAGGCCAAGGCTGAAAAGTAAGGGCAGCATCACCCTGGAAGCCTCAATGTGGGCTCTCATTCCTGTGGCTGCAGGAGGCATTAGTCAGGTCTGTCCCTCCCAAGCTCTGAGCCTCGAGCCGTGTGTACAGTCATGCTTGACCCTCTGCTAGCTGAGCTGTACTCAGAGACCGCCCATGCAGCAAGAGCACGGGCATGGGCATTTTTGAGGCACTTAAGAGCTCAGAAACACTTCTACCTGGCATGGCTGGTATCTCCCAAATCTCAGCGTACGGCAAGGAGACCACAGGGGCTCAACTGTGCTCCCAGCAATGGGCCAAACTCCCCAGGAACTTTGGTCTCAAAACACCAGCCTGCAGCAGACACAGCTGCATTCAGCCATTTGCAGTATCTGTCCAGTCACTAATACGTTTTATCCTGTCTCTTTGGCAGAAATACCTCCAGAGGCAGTGTCCTGAAGCAACAGGCCCTACCAGCCAGTGGCCACAAGTGTCACTCAGGCAACAACAAAAAAAAAAAGCCACCCACACCTTTCCTAGAGGTGGCCTTTGGTTTGCTGACCTGCTTGGGAAGGAAGTCCTTGCATCGGAGGGGCATACAGGATGCGGCAGCAATACTGTCAGACCTGGTCAGAGCTGTGATAACATCTCGCTACACCTGGCCTAAGTGAATCACTGCTAAGAACCTACTGAAGCTGACAGATCTGCAGGTTATCAAACAAGTAGGCTTAGGGTCCAGACACTCCTGATTTTTGAGAAGGACCAAGTCGTTCAGATTTTAAACTTGACTGTGGCTGAGCCACACAAAACTCCTGGGAAACTGGTCAAATATACAATTAAAGTGTTGCATCTTGCCTCCAGTCAAAAGCTGGTTTTTATTTCCTGGCTGCTAGAGCTCATTAAAGTTTTGGCTGCCAGACAGAGTAGCCCGTTCTTGTATCTCTGCTCCCACGGAAGTAATCAAATTACACTTAAGCTTCTCGTGATGGTTTATGAGCCAATTTAATAGGCAAATACTCTTGCTCTCACACTTTCTATGTTGATCTTCTTTCACGAAGGAGTTGAACTCTGTCCAGTTATACACCTTCCCTGAACTTGACTTCCAGGGTTTCTGGAGCCACCGGCAGCCAGGACTTCAGACTTAGCTAACAGAAGGTGAATAGTTTCCCTTAAGCAGGAATTGTCAGTGACATGGACAGTGGGATTGAGCGCACCCTCAGCAAGTTTGCAATGACACCAAGCTGCATGGTGCGGTCAACAGGCTGGAGGGAAAGAATGCCATGCAGAGGGACTCTGACAGGCTGGAGAGCTGAGCCTCTGGCAACCTCATGGAGTTCA